TGCAGCTCCCCGATGGCGACCGAGACGCCGCAGGCCCCTCAGGCCGCGCCATGATCGCCTCGAGTGCTCTCCAGTGCGCCATGACTGTATCAGACACCGCTCTTCTCGCCGTCTGAAAGCTTTGTACCTCGTTTCTGGGGATGCTTGAGCCTCACTGCCCTTTGCCGGATTTCTGGAACAGTCTTTGGCCTTTTATTGAACACCGGCCTTCCCGTGGATTGTCTATGTGAGCGGATTCAGCAGATATAGCAAGGTGGAAATGTGGGTACCGAAAATACCCACGAATTTCCCTACTGTCGCTAGCCACAGAATCTAGTCAGAGAGACATACTGTGGCATACATAATGCAGGGAACAGATCCAAACCAGCGTGAGACATCTTACCATGCAGAACGTTTCCATGTTTATCGGGGATTCGTCGTGAATCTTCATTTCGGCGATGGCTACTGGCTCCTTCCCCCGCCACTCGCTGTCGTTTGTGCTTCTAGCGATGTCGACCGGGCTGTAATAAAGTGGCCTGGGATGGTTGGCACCGCCCACGCCCCGGGCCATTCCGCGTCAGATGAGCGGGGCCTCGCCCAATCATTGGACCCTGTAAAACTTTCAGCACTAAATTTTGCCGACGGAGAACAATTTACTCGCCGTAGCGCGTGCCCAGGGCAGACTTGGAAACCCAATCCAATCACGGTTGCGAAGTAAATGAATGAACAAACGTAAAAATTAACAAAAATAGCTGACACTGGCGACGGGAAACGGGGATAAGCTGCGCGATGAATGCCACGTGGCTGTGCCGCGCAGCGAGCGCCGCCGAGCGCCGCGATGGTCGCCGCTGGCAGAGCGCGCCGGGCTCGCCGCGGCGCCGGTGGCACGCGCGGCGCGGCGCCGCGGCAGATATGCCGGCACGGAATGTCGTCGAGGAGGGCGACTGAGGCGCGCGCGGCCCGCCACTCGGTGCCGCCGACCAGAAAACAGAGCTCACGCACCCGCTGAGGGATATGGGGCCAGACTGGCGGCGGGGGCGGCGAATGAGGCTGATGCCCTCGACGCAAAAACAAAATTATGCGAAGGATGCATCGTTTTTCTTAAATACAGTTATATTCATCCGAAGATTGATTCGGCTTTAGAATTCCTGCAATACCTTCCATATTTCATGCATTCGTTATTCCAACTTTGGTCTTTACTGAAAACTGTGTTTGATTGTTACAGTCTTCATCACAAACAAATTAATGACAGCGACACAGTTACTGCGGTTTTGGGTATCTCCGCTCGATCGGGCCGACTCTCAGGCGAGTATCGACCACACACGTTTGGCGTTCTGCCCAGGACTGGCCCTGGGGCCAAGGCGTCCTGTGACTGACCAATGCTGAATGGGAGGATACGTTAGGGGAAGGGTTCGACATGGCCTCATGGTCTTGCTGAAATCAACGGCTTGGTGGGTGGGCGGAATGCATCACTACTCATTTTTCAAGGCTTTGAAATTAAGTCCACAGTTTTGAAAGAAAACAATCCAGCGAGACATGAAGATCAAGTTTTGAGACTAATGATCATCTTTTTGCGACAACCAAAGCACGCCCCCTGTTCAGCGTTCTTTCTCGATAGAAATCGCAGCGACGTCAGCAGCTAAACTATCAAGATAACGGGGCTCGCGGCGCGGCGCTGACGCTCGTTGATCTCCGAGCGTGCTTGCGCGGCGTCCCAGGCGCTATCTGCAAACCTCGTGGACCATCTAGTGTCACAGTGGAGGGTGATGGCTGCCATCTCCACGCTGCGCCCTTCGTCTGTCTAAATATACCCGACAATGCGGCCGCCGAGACTGGCGGCCGGTCGAGAGTCGAGATGACGCTCAACGAATTGTGGTCTGATGTGGTTTTAGAAGGCGTTGGGTATACTAACAGTGAAGATGCAGTGATATTGCAGTAATGCTGAGAAGGAATTTTCCCTGTTTGTTTTTAGTCCATGCTTTCAACTCATTGGCAGGGGAATGCCCAGCACATGGACGGCGCCACCCGTCACCCGTCAGAACAGTTCATAGATGGCGCTGGGAGTAAGCGCCTGAAGGTATACTGTACCGCATGGCCTGAGGCCGTCTAACATCGCATTTACACATCGGAGACGAGAAGCACAACGCAGAAATTCGCTAATAAAAACCAGTATGTCAAAAATGCTAGGTAACATGCATTTCTATAGATTGGATCCGTGCCTCTTGCTTCGAAGTAGCGCATTCCGTCAATTCTCGTAAAAAAGCGTAAATATCCATAGTTGGCCCCTCTTCAGCTTTTCGTCGCTTTGCGGAAACGCTGTGCACTCTGTGCACGACGACCGACGACCAGCACCGACCGCCGTGTGTCTAGTGTGCACGTGTGGTGACATAATTGACAGCTCAGCCGTCATAACATCACAGTGCTCCTGTTGACTTAAGCAGTCCCAACGTCACTCTATTGTCTCTGCATTCCTGCGTGGTTGGTGACAGACAGGGTGGCGGATATCCTTCGTGGAATGCAGGCGTAAAAGTTGCCGTCACGTTTCTCTACATGAACTTACTATAATGCTTCAGCCTCATACGAATATGTGTTGATTGTTGTGCTAATGGCATCAAAAAGGTTGGAAAGTCAACCATTTTTTTTTGCATATCAACGTTGCAAGAGATAATGTTAGTTCTAGCCCCTTTTAATTACATATTGATTAACTTAAAATTAATGAGGCGCATGAATAATCCAACCGCACCTGCTACACATATTCAAGTAACAAAACTGGTTCCTCTACTCACCCAGGAAATATTATACCCTGATCCATTAAGTAAAGCTGAGGCAGCTCTATTTTAGCAGCGCCATGGAGCTGGCAGCGGTACGCGTGTACGCGTCATCGTTTAACTGAGCGCCGCCAGACACTGTGCGCCGCGCGGTGCGCCGGGCTGTGCCACTCTCTCTCTTGCTCGCTGTGTTTAGCTTGGCGGCGCGGGAGGTCCGTACCCGTCTCATGCCCCGTTTGCCGGCTCTGTCCTACGCCGGAAGGCTCCAAGAGACACGAGTGACAGCGGAACGAACCGTGGCGTCTGTCTGGGTTGAAGTTGGAACCAGATGTGCCGAGCGGCTGGGCTGCCCCAGGTGGTTAGGAAGGGTGACGCGGTCAAACGGTTAGGTCAAGTGGTTAGGATGATGATGTGAAGAGGAGATGGGTTCAGTGCCTGTTTTGATAATATGGTCAGTTAAATGTCAAGATGCTCAGGCAAAATTTGATGCTGCTTTTGCTTCTCTTTGAAGTAGCATCGTTATATTATTTAAGCTGGCGAGTGGCGTCTTCTTAGCACCTGTTTTGATGATCGATGCTTGCTTACGTTGCATTATTTTGACGTACACGATGTCATGAAAGTACAACTGTCACACCTGAGCAAAATGACCACAAGATGGCTTTTCGTTGGCCTTTGATGTTTGATCAATCAATGTTGAATTTAATTTAGAATTTGATGAAATTATGCAATGCATGCATGATGTAGCCTAGTCAACTATTATGTTGCCAAGCTGCTACGCGTAGCATATTTGTCGTTCTACACCAGCGACAGCGATTACTACTCTTCCATGACAGTTGCCATGCCAACCATCGTCCCTACGTCATGATGACGTCACCGACCACTTTCTGTCGACCAGGGGAGCGGAAAGTTTAAAGAGCAGGATCGGCACTAATGGCGTTTGGACTCGTTTCTTTGCCGGAGCGCGATATATACGATCTGTTCAGCGCGCCCTAGTAGGCCCCATTCGGGCCCGGTGGCCGACCGTTAGGGCTCATGCAGCCGCTGTAGCCGGCTCGCCTGGCGCTCTAGTTGGACCGAATGGCCTCTCTTGCCTCTCCGAGGGTGATTGTTGCTCCCAGCCGACGTATTACTCCCCCACGGAGTGTAGGTTTATTGGACATAAGTAAAAAACCATCGTTAAAATAATGACGGTTGATGATACACCAACGGCTCTGGTAGTGTAACCGTCAGAGCATGGATAAATAGTGCGCCGAAACTGTCGCTGGTGTACTTACCAGTTCAGCCGTGTGATCGCAGATTGGCGCCGTCGCCGCGGCAGTCCCACAATGTCGTCCGTGGAATGTCAAACAGTCGCCTCCGTCACGACCGTTCGTCTCCGAATTAACTAACAGGGAAGTTTTACACAGAGCTCAATGCCGCGAGAGCCGTCAGGGAAAAAGTGAAAATTGACGTTTTAGGGAGATGCCGTTAATGGGTATAATGAGGACCAGATATATGCTGCGCTTAGGGGAGCCTCGATTAGAGGAAACGTTTAATGATTGGATGTAAAATACTATTTTTTAACTGAATCAGTTACAAGATTTGTCTGGGTGTAGACAAATGAAATGAAGAAATCAAAGTTACTCAGCGAACACTTTTTGTTACTAATATTTATAACTATGTGTAATCGATATAACTTTTTCTTCCATCACTATTCCCATGAGCACATGAAACTCAGACCATTGGTTTATATGCGATTGAAAGTCTCTGATACATGCGTCTGAGTTTATGCCAATTTTACCGTATAACTTATGCACGAGTTTAACCATGTTTATTGAACAAACGGTTGTGAACTGTCATGACCACAGTTTTAGAGTGCTCTTTCAATAAGTAATGGATTAATAGTTGTTAACTGCATAGTGCATATGTTCTACTCTCAAGCTTGGTGTGCTTACATATTGTTTCACACGGTGCATATTGCCTGTAAAGCAGCGTATAACATAATCAGATGAACTGTGGCATTGAGAAAAGTTCATTTTTATACGAGCATATGTAAGAGCTGTTTACGATCCGTGTTAGCTTATCATCCTGGTGGCATTATGAGATATCGTTTAGTCCGTTCCTTTTTCATCCGTATGTAAGTGTTTTTGCCGTAATCACTTTTTGCTCATTCCTGTTTACAGTAGGTAACATACAAGCCACACATGGATTACGGCACAACGGTAATCATTTTGTCATAAACCACGTGACTTACCCGACTGTTTCCTGTCACAGAATGCGGCGAGGGGTCGGAGCCACGTGATCCTTTGGCGGCGCTGGCGTCTCAGATCCAGTACGCTTTCATTGATCCACAAGGCAACGTCTACTTCAATGGTGAGTGTCAGTGCGCATGGATAGTTAAGCTAAGACCGTGATGCTTTACCTAACAAATCCTTGCTTCATTGCAAGCAAAATCGTTAGTTGAAATCGATGAAAAAGCATACCTTTATTGAATACTGCATGCATCGTGGTCATCTAAGATCAGGTTTCACATACAGGTGTTAATTTTCACCGGTGTCAAACTCGTCCCCGAAGGTAACACGAGCCTACGGTAGTACGGTACCGCTCTGAACAGCCCAATCTTATGCTCTATTCCCGTAGCACGTGTCTACCCGGTTGGCAACTTCGAGCTGGGTTCCGTTTAACTCCATTCCAATTCCATTTCTTGATCCTATTCAGTGACCGGATAGCGGTCTTGTCAGAGTCGGTAACGGTCCTAGTGCACATGGCCGGTGTCGTCATCTCATCTGGACCTTGCCTGCCGGTGTCCCCGGGCGGGGGCGCACGCCCCTTTTGGTGTCAACACGTTGACTCGGACATGAGTGGCTCGTTAGTTGTGAGGGATGGCGTGCGCCACTGGCGGCCAACGGGGGGAAGTGGGTGGGAACCGGACAGTGTCAACAACGATCATTAATATTTAGAGATTCAGAGAACTAAATCGTGAATCAGGCAGTATCGGACGACTTTTTGGCGATGCATACTTTTGAAGGTTTTGAACTTTTGAACTTTTTCGAAAATGCTGTGTCATTTCCGGAGTGCTACTGGAAAATGTGTTTGCTCTCCAAAGATGAAGTCTCTTTTAATTATTTAGCATTTCTACAAAAGTTAGATGTTAGGACATGATCCCACCCACTGGATGCCTCCATTGAGCATGATTTCAGCAGTGGTCCCAATATTTGGTCCCCATCGAGTGTTCCACTAAACCATAGACCTCCATGTTGTCGGAACGAGCCTCGGAGGGTGGTAGGAAAATAAACATGAAAGCATCGGGGTGTGCTGTCTATACTTCTGCTCCCTGTGGCGTGACAGAGGACAGTCTAAAATTGGCTTCTTGAGTGTTTGGTCGCCCTTCAAAACCGCATCTTACGCAGTAGATATGTTCAACCTGCACGCGGAGATTAAATCACACCTTTTGTCTGACAGTCAAATCGCCCCGATCAGCATTGTCGATTCCACTTGTAAGCTTCTGGTTCACATTGAAGAAGTCAATCGCACGGGATCTTAGCTTCTCTGGCTGCAAGTCTAGCAAAGTTTGATGTTAATTCGTGATATTTCGCAACTACGCTACACCGCATTCGAGATGCGGGATCTCACCAAACGTTGACCGATTGGTGGCCTGAAGGCCACCAATCGGAAGTAAATGTATCTTGGACTGTTCAGGTTCACTCGTCGTATGTACCTACCGCCCATCTTTGCCCATCCAATGTTTGCCCGTCTCTCGGTCCGACTCTGAATATGTCCGCGAACGTTGGCGACATGGCGCAGGCGGAGGAAATCGGCGGACAATCTGGAGTGGAGTCCAGTTGTTTTTGTCGGTTGCGGAGACACGCCGGACGTGCTATCGTAGTGCTGAGAGTGCTCACAAGTATCTGCTATCAGCCTGATTAAGTCCGACGATCGTGTTTGTAGATCGGTCTGGGCGAGTGGCACCCGCGGCCGCGCGCATTTATCTGAGCCAAGGATGTGTCTTAATCGAAACCATCTTAAAATCGAGCTCAAGCTATTATCCCAATTTGATATCAAGGAAAGTGAGTTGTGTTTTGCCCTTCCGGTTAGGTAGTGATGGCGCAGATACGAAATTAACCTCAGTGTTAGCCTGTACCTGTCGTCAGTATTAACTATTGGTAAATCTAGATTTTAATGATAACGAAAATGAATGCATTTTTATTACGGACATTGATAGAATGTTCCATGTTCAACAATTCTTGATTCAATCAATAATTCAGATCAAAAGCTGTCCGGCAAGAACTGTTTTCTTTCTGCTTCTCCTCAAGAGACCTAATAAATTCCGTTCACTAAACCCGAGAAACAGACAGTCATACACTTCGCTCGACCAGTCCAAACTCATAACCGACCCCCGCATGTTTTGTTCAAACAAATTTAGTCTTCGATGTCGATTGCCGTCGGCTCACCTTCTCTCGGGTGAGGCGGTGACACAGCAGACCGTGCGTCGGTCACCTGTCTGTCTTTGTGTGTGAGGAGGAGGCGCTGACAGTGTGCTCTGTGTGGTCTGGCCGGCAGTGATGGACGAGTCGGGTATCATCCACCTGCCGCCGGTGGCCGGCTACTACATGGCTCCCTCCTACCCGGGTGGTCCCGTGGTCGCCACGCCCGTGCCCTGGCAGGCGGTGCCGATTGCGCCTCTGGACTCGCCAGAGTACCAGGCGCTGATGAGACGCCAGCAGCAGCAGTTGCAGCAGCAACAGCAACAGCAGGGGCAGCAGCAGCAGTGCTGCCAGGAGACGGGACAGCCGTCTGAGTGCCAGCAGGATGGTCAGCAGGAGCAGCCGTCGTGTCCGCAGCATCAGCAGCAGCAGCAGCAACAGCAGGTGGGTCAGACGGCTTCATTGCACCTTGAGCAGAACTGGGAGGCGGCGGGAAAGATTGGCAGACAGTGCATGAATACTTATGTGCCTTCAGTAAGGATGAGAACACTGTAGTCTACAACAGACATACCTGCCCTTCATGTATCATCAAATGGATCTATGCAGACATCGGTCGACCAGCTGATGTGTTCCTACCAAGAAACGTTTATCTCCGCTAACGCCAGCTCATCAGAGCTCCCTGCAGCGTCCGCGCAGACTGTTCGGCAAAAGCGGCGGCCTCAGCGAACGTGAAACAGTCACCGACCACTCGACCCTCACGCAGTGGGCACCCGCCGGCGCCTCCGCCCCTTCTGACGAACTTGTCGAGTCGGTATGCTTTCGGAGAATCGCGAGGCACCGGCGTGTGTTACTGAGGACTGATATGCCGCTATGTGAAAACTGGCCGACTTGAGGATCGGTGGCGAGGATACGACAAGCCATCGCATAACGCGACGTAACTATTTCGCATGTCCAACATTTTCGTTAGCTCATTATTTCACGCTAATGGGTTTACTGAATTCGATAAACACTTCAATTGGTTCTCAAGCATTCCCGGCCAGCCTGGTGTTTGTTTTCCAAACACCTTGGCAGTGGCTAACGGCAGACTCGTCCCATCAAACACCTGACAGACGTGTAAACAAGTAAATACCCCGGAAATCATGGACACTGCCCGTTTCCAGAGGACCATTATTACTGCATGGCTTACGTTAGCTGTGCTCCGAGATACTAGTAATCGCAGTTCATGCCAAGAATGTCTTCCCATGCTGCTCTATTCCATCAGCTTGGCAAGAAGCCGCGAACAGCTTTAAGGCTTCACGTTGAACCCAGCCACCTTGCTTTAAGCCGTAATCCACACTTACACCCACTGACTCGTCTTTCGCTGAATTCAAACTGACTGCGCCCTTGGGATTTTAACGACCGGCTGCTGGGAACTTGTCGGCCAGTTTAGCCGAGCTGTTTCGCTTTCAATCGCCGCTGCCGTGCCGACCGATCGAACCAGCGAGTGATCGCGTGCAGGAGGCTCTCCTGCGCTTCCTCTGGAATCACGCACTTTGAACAGTCTGCCTTTCCAAAACGCAGACACGAAATCGACGTCGGCGACGACGTCTGCTGCTGCGGCGGCGACGCTGGTGGCCGCCCGGTAGATTTGGACCCAGTTGGCAGCCGGCTGCGGCCTCCCCGCCCGGCCCCGCAGCATAACGATGAGGCGAGGCGCCGACCAGACTCCGGGCCCTTCGCCGCCGCCGCAGCCGTCGGGAATCCGTCACGTGGTGCCAACTGCAGCCGGTCGCGTCGCCGGCCCAGTTGGTAGCCCAGATCCGGTCGCGTGACGCGCTGCCAAATGCGGCGACGCGACGCGGCGGCGGCGTGGTCGCGTGCCTGCCGCGTGCGCTCTGCTCGGCGTATGTATGTGTGTCTGTGAGAAATGCGCCAGCCAGACGAATGGTCTAGCAGGCTGCGGCTGACGAACTGCCGCCGAAGTTTAGGCGGCTGTCGGCGCACCCAATAACCTATCAAGCATCGTAGCCTCCCCCCTGGCCTTCCCTCAGGGTCCTCTTGGGACCTATTGGCACCGAACGCGAATGATATTTGGAAAGAGAGCTTGACCCGATGCGCTTCAGTGCACTCTTGAGTGTCGCTTGCATTCAGCCGTGCAATAGTCGAAATGTGAAATGATTTATCAGACGCTTTGATCTGCCGAACTTCTTTGAATGGGTGATGCTAATGATGAACTTTTGAGGTGTGGTATCAGCTCTTCTTTTAACTGCTAACTGCTTGCGACTAGAGTGAATCGCTCCTTACCTCTGATTGCTGGGTGCTGAGCTTTGGAGACATATAATTACTTTAGAGACGTGGAAGGAAAAACCGTCTTTGTCTTTCTATGAAGAACGATTGTCCTGAAGCTCCGGTGCATGCAATTACATAAAACGGAAGTGCTCTTACTTTCCAGAGCAGAGCAAGGTTGACGGCAGTCGCGTTTCGTCTACCTGGGTAGGTGCTGACCTTTTCTTCAGCTGTCCGACTCCATTGCACTCCTCTGCAATGCATCTCATTGGCTGAAAGTACGCCTACGGACGGACCAACCGCAGTCACAGGGGATAACGGGCCATCTAACACCGGACGGACCCCTTGCGTCTCATTTGGGCTCACCGTACACCCTGTGACATTCAACGTCCGGTCCCAAAAACGATCTCCTAACTGAACTGTCACGTCGCTCTCAACGCTCCGGAACTGAGCCCAATTTAAATGTCCAATGCACTGTCACTTGGCCTGAAGGTGACAGGTTTTGACTTATACTCTGTAGTTGTAGCTCGGTTTAACTGCGCACCTCTGTCATATTGCTTATCCTTGATAGGTGGCAATGTAATGCCAGTTTTGTCCAGCATATTCCCCTTCTCTCTCTCTCTCTCTCTCTCTCTCTCTCTCTCTCTCTCTCTCTCTCTCTCTCTCTCTCTCTCTCTCTCTCTCTCTCTCTCTCTCTCTCTCTCTCTCTCTCTCTCTCTCTCTCTCTCTCTCTCTCTCTCTCTCTCTCTCTCTCTCTCTCTCTCTCTCTCTCTCTCTCTCTCTCTCTCTCTCTCTCTCTCTCTCTCTCTCTCTCTCTCTCTCTCTCTCCCTCCTTCCCCTCAGCTCCAAGCTGACCCCCTTCCTTCCCATCTATCCTCACGCTATCCGATTTCCACTACAGTACATCTCCTCTTCTCGATTTTCGTGGCAATCTCCGTCGCTTCCGGCGGGCCCACAAATTCGGCGTGCGATCAGCACCGACCACTTGACGGTCCCCGGCGGCCGCTCGTGAGTCGCCCGGAGGTGCTCCTCTTCCTCCCGTCGGCGGTGGCACGTCCGCTCGGCCGTCGTGCCGCCCTGCACGCCCGTCGCAGGCGACGCTGATGCATCGCCGACGATCGCGCCGAACTGACGGAGTGGCGGCGCGCTCTATGTTTAGCCGGCCGCGCGTCTGTCCTGGCAGAGCGTCGTCGCAGCGAGGTCGAGGGCGTTTGGGGGCGTCCTCGCCCGGGAGGACACGGGGATGGGTGGGAGGAGTCTGTCAAAGACGAGCTGTCAAATCTAGGTGCTGGGGAGGAGAGTGCGAAATGCGCCGGGAGGGCCGGCACGCGCTGCCGCGGAGGGGGGGGGGGGGGGGGCGGAGTGCGCTGAGAGCTGCAGTCGGATGGAGAAAGACTGGTGGAAACTGGTGGGAGTGGTTAAAAAAGCTGCTCAGATATCGTTTCTCTTTTTACTCCGGCTAGGACTTTTCTGTATTAAATATTTAAGGAAAAAAGAACGATTTCCTTGGAGGCACAACAGTGGCAGTGTTTTAAAACAACCACCACCGCGACGTCAGGGCCGCGTCGTACTCCTTGAAAAGAAATTGCTACTCTTGTCCTAAGTGTTTGTCTTTCTGTAGGATATTGCTAAAAATGAGAGGCCATATATCGGGGACGTTTTAGCTTGAAGTTGAAAAGGCGCACTGTTGCAATGCAGGCACGGTGCAATATCCTGTAACAACAGACGGGATAGTGAGCAGTTTGTTGTATCGGCGAGGCTGACAGCCGCGGCGGCGGCTGCGGACTGTCGTCCGCGTCCGTCTGTCCGGTGAACAGACGGCCTCGTCTCTATTTGTTTGGCTTGTGTTGGCAGTGGCCAGCCGGCCGGGCCGTTGCGACACGAGAATGGCAGGCGTTTCGACTGTCCTGGAGACGCGTGGTGAGGGAGGATGGTCGCGTGGATTCCGTCAGAGTCGAATGTGCTCATCCGAGACGAATTTGGGCGACCTGAAACTGGTGTGGGTTCTCGGAATACGCTCACCTCTTCCGCCGGCTCAGTGAGCCGCAGACAGACAGGCTGGAAAACAATGCTTGTTGGCAGCGGCAGTGTTTTGAGATCGCTGCACTGACACGGTCTGAAGAGTGAGATGTTTTCAAATTTTCAGCTGAAAGCTGCGTTCCTGACATAACTCTTAATACCATCAGCTAGCATGTGCGAATGTTGTTTGTGTCAACAGCTGTCGGCCTGAATTTAGAAAACGGGGAAGTGTTTGCGAATTATTAGCAAACCATCGTTAATCAGGTCTGCTTTGTGGTTGGTGATAGCGAACGACGTGGTGGATGTTCCGGACACTTCCTGCGATATAGATCAAGTATTTAGACAGAGACAATGATCTCTGGATTGAGCAATACCTAAGCTTCTCAATTTATTTCCGGACACCTCTCTCTAATCATCATGTGGCTAGAAATTTTCTCATTTAAAGAAAGCATTTGATTACATGTAGGGACCTATGTCCAGCCTCGATAAACATTTGTAGATTAAGTACCTATTGAATCTTCGTCTGTCGACTTTCTATATTAGCCGAAATGTGAAATTATTTTTAAACTCATGACCTCTTATACTCCACAGCCATTTTCTTCGCCCTTGCGGTTTTTATGACATGCGATCGTCTTTCGTAACTATACGCTGCTTTACCTATGCAACACCCATCTGTAATGTAAACAACTTCTGGCTTTCCCAAAGCCATCGTTCAACCTTTGCCCGTCTTTCCCTCTCACCCCGTCCCGTGCTTCCTCGTACCTGGCTCGCGGTTTATAATCTTGTGACCACCACTGCGCCGGCGATCTGCATGCAGTGCACCTCTAGCGGGCCTCTTCAAAAGCCGCTGTCATTAGAATCTTCTCCACAATTGCCTGTCATCCCCTTCAGACCTTGCAACCGGCCTCGCGGGCAAACTTGGGACGCTGTACTTTAGACTTTAGGGGCATGGTTTCATCTGAAGCTTGTCTCTTTGTGGAGTGTTCATTAGGATGCTCTCGTATTCCGACATGCCTCACCAGCAAACATTCTGCAGTATACCTACCGTCTAGACATCGCGTTTCTGCTCCGTTCACTGCCATCAACCGCTCACAGAGTGGCTTTCGGCGCACGGGCGGGGGGCGTCATCACCAGAGCTCATCTCAGGGTAGCCTGTCGTCACTCCTTCTCCTCCTCTCTCCTCGCTCTCCGCCTCTCTCCTCGCTGGGATGGCACTGTGCCACCGTGGACGGATACAGAGACCGAGTGGCGCGGGCAGGATGTCCTCTCCTCGGGCGGCCATGTTGGAAGTACCGTCGTGAATGCGTGTGAGGGAGAGAGAATCTGCGCCGGTAACGCCGCGGCGACTCCTGTTTCCGCTGACTATGTGCTTAGAGAAGGGTCGCTGGGGTTGCTGTGACCGCAGCTGTATGGTGCACCGCTGGAGGAGCTCTGCGATAGTTCTCGCTGCTGCCCAGACGGGGGACGGGGGGGGGGGGGTCAGCTGGTTCGGACGGCTGGCGATCGATGACCAGCGATGACGAGGTCGAGAGGTCGCGGCACCTGGACGGTTTCCCAGGTCCTCCCTTACCCTGCCCACGCCGGCACTTGGTCTCCAGCCAGAGGAAAGGTGAGGGAGGGGAGGGGAGGTCAACTCAGAAGCTTTAAACACATGGGTTTAATGATGGTTGACAGCAGTCGGTACTGGCTATGGTTGAGGGTGGAGTATTTAGTGGTCGATACGATGGACTCCATAGTCATAAACATAATCATAAACTGTTTTTAACGGTATTACATTTAGGTCAAAAGATTTTTTTTACTTGTGTGTTTCGTGGTCTTCATGTGGTCCAATGTCCATAGTCATACACCACTTCAATTGTGAAACAATGTTTGGGTTAATTTATCATCTTTGAATTGGCCCATTTTGTCAGAATTGCATATGGCTGTTCCGGTGAGCAATAATTTTGCCCGTCTTCTCCAATCCAATAAATCAGTCTGGCTTATATTGGAATATGTCATCTTACCGATGCCAGCAAATGAATGTCCAGATTCCAAAGCACCGTGGTGCGTCTCACTCCTGGCTCAGCGCCAGGTAGGTCATGAGAGACGATCCGTGACGGTGTCGCTATTTATCAAAATCTTAGGACATGTGACCTCCTCCAATTTAACGTCTGGAGTGTGCGTTAGAGATATGTCTCGCTTTCATCCCTGATATGAACACCGAATGATCACTGTTTTTTATAAGTCAAAATAACCACTAAAAATGTGTAGGTACCGGATACCCATCACGTTGCATGATTTTTTTTTAGCGTGACAAAAATGGGTTCCAATCTTTGCATGGATATTCACATGCCTTTGCGTTTTGGGAACTTTGTGCCGTATTCTGGAACGATGAGCACTGAACGGCTAACTGCAGTCCACAAATTACGGCTTCGGTAAGCAGGCCAACTCGTCTGAATTTAAACGTTTGATGCCATTCGCTGACATACAAATCGCTCCGCCGTTTTCGCTGAAGCTCTCCATTTAATCCCACCCAAGGCGTTATTTTCACACATGTGCCCGCGCAAAGAGCATCCCAGCTCACACAGAATCACAGAAAAAGCGTTTGCCGGTCGTCGTTGCAAGAGATATATTGCACAACAGATCGAGGGCGAGCGACGACAGGGCTCTCTCGGCAAGAAATGAGTCTGCCGCGTGTGTGACGGAAAGATGAATGTTCACCTCCAGCTGAGCGGCCCGGCCCCGGCCTGGTATGCAATCATTTATCGTACTCTCCGGTTTGTTATCGGTGCCTCTGCCCGGCTTCAGTGGACACACGAGGTGAACAGTTGCGCAATGTGTCGCTGCAGACGACTGGACTTTGACCAACGCCGACCGATTTCTGCCCGCAAAAGATCAACAGAAGACAGCCGGGACGGTTTGAGGCTGGCGCAGATCTGAAGCTCTTTTTTCGTATGGCTGGCCGGATGTTATAGCGTCCAAGCTGATGGACTGAAAGGCTTTAATGAATTCAGCGAGTCGAGGTCGAGCACAGTGGTGAGGATAACATACTGAAGTTCGTTTCAGGCATTGGTGAACCAGGGGAGGCGTGACGGCAAGTGAAAGGAAGAATTGTGCCATCTAACTAACTATTCACTCCTTTGATATTTCATGTCACGCAAGAGAACAGATGTTCTCGTCCTTGGGTTGGGATAATCAAATTGAAATAAATTGCTGCATTGCGAGTTCATTTTTGCTCATAGCTCATGGTTTGTTGTGACATACCTATAGCTCAAACAAATTTAATTTCACCTTTGCTGCAAATTGTGTTGCGTTAGTCACTCAAAGTGCTGTCACAGCTCTCACTATGTCTAAACTATGGATTTCCCAGTTACCAGCGATCTCACTGCAGGGGACCGTCAGCAGGCTGGCATTATACGGCGAATGCCGGATTCCCCTGATAGAATCGCGGCTCATGGTCGGGACCTGTCTCCATGCCGCAGCACGCTGGGGCCCACAGTCTGTTACCGGGCTGGCTGTGAAGCCGTTAGAATCTGACGGAACGGTGCGAAGTTGTAGTGTACATTCTGGCGGTATGTGGGTATGGTTGTCTTTGAATGTTAAGTGGTTGACTTTTTCAGCATCACAAAAACAAGTTTTGTGAATGAATTTACCATAGTTGTCTTCATCTCTTCTTTTCATCCATTTGTTCTTCTTATTTTTGTCTCCATTCTGGAGCCCAGCGATAATTACCTCGCTTATCTCATTAGCAAATTCTTTCGTACCAAGTACGGATCGCTTCGCTTGAGGGTGATTTTCTCACACTGAACAAAACTAATTTCACACAATAAATGCCAACATCTTCTACATCCTTCTCAATTCTTTGTCTCCTCGATACCCCCATCGACGAAAAGCTTCCCGTTCAACTGCTTCTGTAATATCTCTGATTCAGTCCAGCGACTCGCTCCGACTACCAATTAGGCCATGTTGCGTCCGCTCAACCCGGGACAGATTTGGAGCGGACGGGCCGCGCCTATGACGTCAAAGGCTCACAGCTCAGCCGTTGCACAGACAGATGCACGGTTACACTCTAGGCTCGAAAGCAGGTCTAATGTGCTCTGGGTGACGGAGAACTGAATATCAAAGAAGTGTACCAGTCGGGTGACTTCTCCGCAGATACAAGTTGGGGGACAAGAGTTCATCCATTCATTCATGTGGATGCTTCGTTGAAATTCATATGGCATAACAATGCAGTCATAAATCTGTAATCCACGCGGTTCGCCTTCTGTGGAACTGAATATTATGCTCTGGAGAGCTGTGGAAGGCTCACAGAAGATAGGGACGCTCACCAAAACGGGAAATGTGCGGATACTTTTGCTGCTTAAATGCTGTGTTGCCAGCGCTGCTCTTGCTGTTTTTCATTGATTCCCTGCCAAATACATAAATGGTGGGTTATGGAACCGCTTTTATGGTTAAGAAAAGGCCGGAGTATTGGTACAAATGGTCCCACATGAATTGGATTCGATTTACTGGTAGGCATAGCTATTTTCTAGGAGTAATGAATGTCACTATGTACAAAGACTCTGTGTTAGGATTGCTCTGTCGCCTAAAATTTCACTAGCCTGCTCCAGCCTAACTGAAGAGGGCTTTACTGTTAATTCGTTTTTATATCAAATCGATCTGTGGGCTGCACTTTTTTTATTTACTAGTCGGACCTCTCTCCAACGGGCTCTTGTCCCAATTATAGGAGAGAGCACCTGCTCCTCCCGCATTAAAGTGACTATTCAGTGTTTTTGTGTCTTGACCTGACCTGACCTGACCTGAGCTGACCTGACCTGACCTGACCTGACCCTGTGTCTCCCCGCAGGACCTGGCCAGCGGTGACGGCAGCAGTGCGGCCGGCAGCCGACCGCGCTCCGAGCTATCGGATGACGCCACCAGCGCCACGGGCTCCCGGCCCATCAGTCCCTCCGTCCCCGACCGGCACAACAGCTCCGGACCAGAGCACGGTAGGTCACACACGCCAGCGTGGATAACCGCGGTGCCCGCTTCCCCAGCAACCAGCGAACAGCACTTAATACAAAATGCACAATAATCAGTGCACTTAAACCAGTGCTTAATCGCAGAGGCACGGCCACACTGGAGCGCAAAACGTTTGTCAAATTTGTTGGGAGAAAGGCAAGGTAAGGAAGGTAAAATAAATCAAGATAGGTATGCGCATGGAAAAGAAAAAAAAAGAAGAAATGAAACCAGAAACACATCGATGATGATCATTGAGTTGATTGTAAAGCTCTTGAAATGCATCTTATTTGTGGCATGCTAAGCCTACTCATAATACACTCAAACAATATGCAAGAAGTAACTGAATAACCCGCACAGTTATAGCGAAGCCTTGAACTTTACCCTCTCGTAGTCAGTGACCCGTCCAGAATCTCTCCGGAAGTGACGCCACTATTCTAGCTCCCCTGGCGCCCCTGGCACTCCTAGCTGGGCTGGGTGGTGGTTGTTTATCGAAACCAGACCCGTTTACGAATGGATCGCAGAGCGTCTGGCAGGCACCGGGCAATGGCCAACTCTGCTGTCAACCACAGAGGATACAAATGATGTCGATGGCTGTTAAAATTATCTAACACTATCGAGATAGCTTACGACATTCTCTGGCAGCATTGCGAGGTATGCAATAATGTTCTGACATTCTCAAGAGTGTCGGTCCATTTTGCATAGCTGATTACAGAAGCATGCATATGGCTTGTAATGTCCATATGCATTAGAGTTCATATCTGAATGAGCACACAGGAGCAAGCAATCGGCTGCCCGTGATTGTAGACGGTTATATTGCGCACGGCTACCTACCAGGCATGTTTCCGGGTCGTGCTGAAATGTATTCTCTCGAGAAGCAATATTTGCTCTCAGCTGACATGCTCTTGAGCTATGTTTGCGAAGCTGGGCCGCATCTGTTTCATTCTCAAGCAACGTGACAGCCATTTTCTACGAATGTGCTGAATCAGACTGCTTGCAATGGCTCCGGTACAGGCCAACCGGAAGGGACCATGTCGGTGCTCATATACCGTTTCTACTCTCGGCTGTAAGTGCTGATTAAATAATCGAAATTTTCTTAAGATCATCTCCACGATTGCCACTAACCGGTGGAAAATTACAAGTGCTTAACAGACCATCGCTTATCATTTACTGGCGTCACGGCTATCAATGGCCGACATACGATACCAAATCGGTTGAAGTGTATGTTGTATACGTTCCTGTCCGTAACGATCAGGGCGCGTCAGGTCATTGGGTTCATAGTGACTTCTGAAGCCTCAGAGAGCTCGTAGCAACCGCTCTGCAGACGGCGGGCGTCGCCCTGCGTCTCCTGACGGCTGTCTCCGGGAGGAAGCGTCTCGTATTCTCCGTCATCAGATAGTCGTCTCGCGTCGAAGTGGGTAACGCTGGCCGGTGCAGACGCTGTGTTGACAGTTTTTGCGCACTACAAAGAGGGTCGCCGAGCACCGAGGCGGCATCCTGAGTGGCCGCACACGCAGCAGCTGGGGGAGACTCGCGGGCGGACTCGGGAAGACTCGGAGAGACTCGCGGTCGGGCGTGTCCCCGTTCGTCTACCATCTGTGGCCGCTGCTCCCGGCACACGTGGCTAATGCGTGTTGACACATCGCTGGTTTGGACGAGACCCCCGGGTCGCGGCAGAGTGTTCGTCATTAATCTGCGCTCACTCCGCTCCCCGGCCGCTAATTCATCGGCTTTTCCGGATGGCAACCGCCTCTCTGGGAATAGGGTCTCAATTTCAGGGGGTTGTTTTTAGACCGGGAGGTTTCTCTAGTGAGCTGGTGGCGTGCTTTCTTATTGCGTCAAAATGCGATTGTACAGCTAGTATTGCGGTCAATGCCTGTGCGGCATTGTAGATGGACGAACAATGCCGAAGCAACCGGCGGCTCAAGCTCTTTCATCTCCACAAAAGGGCCGTGACTCCTTAATCCGCTGCCAGTCATTTCGCCTTTGACGCCTCATATGAACGTAACTGCCCTCAGAATAGCCGACCTAATGTCGCATGAGTCGTCGGCCTACGAATTACAGCCTCGACATCTGCCCATAACAGGGCTTCCGACCGTCTCCACGCTGCGGTTTTACTCGGAACAGCTCCAGCGTCACGCCAGCGTCGCCGCCGTCGGCCGTCGGTGCCGGCGGGCGGCTCTTTCCGACGCTCTCGATCATGGCAGTCGGAGCGTCATGGAGCCCCCTGACGTCATCGGCGGGTCTCTGACGTCACAATGACGCGCCTGCAGTGGTCCCGTGACCGCCGGCAGCCACTGCCGCCCCGAATAGCGCGCTTGGTAACAGGCCCGCCCCCGTCTCGGCCCGCCGCTCGGGTCAGAGCTCTGCTCTCGCAGATAAATGTGCCACGCTCATGAGACGTTACTCTTCCCCAGTGGAGGATTGCCCACAGATCTTGACCACTTTACATAGTCGGAGAGTCTCGGTCCGGAACTGTGACGTAAGGCTGCCTAGATGAGTGTCTAGCTGAGAGGGTGACCTGCAGAGTAACCCACGTGGTCGTTCCGAGCCCTCTTTCCGGCAGTGCAGGGCTAATTGTACCACAAAACGTCCCTGGGGTCATGGTCGGACATCCGTGTCGTTTCTAGGAAAACTGCCTCCTTCAGGGCACGCTTCTTTGCCCTCCTATTTACGGTCACCTGATAATGAGTGGCGGCATAAAACATATCTGTCCTTCTGCGCTCTCTTCCTCCCCTCTCTCTCTCTCTCTCTCTCTCTCTCTCTCTCTCTCTCTCTCTCTCTCTCTCTCTCTCTCTCTCTCTATTCTCTTCTATCCCTCGCTGTCTCTTACTCTGCTACTCTGTCCTGTAGCTCCACCGCCTCCACTCTGGCCTCGTCAGCGCGACTCGACCCGGCCGGCTGGAAGGACCATCGATTGGTCCCCGCCCCCGCCCCCGCTCCCGCCCCCGCCCGTCGGTCGCCGATGACCCGCCTCGTTTAAGCCGCACGCTGCGTCGGCAGATCGTCGTCACCGTCAGCGTCATTGCCGTGGCAGGGTGGGGTCAATCAGTGGGTGTGGTCGTCCACAATGCGTTCGAGGTGGCCACAGCGTCCCGTCCGTGTCCTGTGTGCTAGTCGTTACGGGAGAGGGGGCGGGGGTAAGCCATAATTGGAGGACGAGAAAGTTACTTTGTAAAGCATTTTAAGGGTGCTTTTGGTGACCAAATATGGAACGACAAGGGGCTCAACTTGAAATGAGACTTATAATCAAGTGCTGCGTTAGATTAGCGAAAGATTTTACGTAAAGGCGGAATGACTTCTGCGCGGGACGATTTAGCAAAATTATAAAATATTGAAATGTGATGGACAACATTAATGTGGGATTATCGTGCCGTACAGGCGGACTAGGGTGATGCTAAAATAAGCCCTAGAAGATTAACTACCCGGAGGAGACGGCTACCATGTGTGAAAGCAGCTGTAATAATTCTCCTTTCGTTCATGACGCAGCCGGCGGCATCTATTTGCATTAATAAATCAGGCTAGTGACGTCATTCCTGGAATTCCGTCATAACTTGTTAACATAGGACCGTTAATGGCTGCAGACTGTTATCACGACTTATGCAAAGCGGAGGCGGTTTGCATGTTGCACTCGTGCTAAATCTTGCATGCCGCGTCAATATCACGGTGTCAGTGCCAGGAATCAGTCGTCGGGAACGGGGTGCCATGCTGGTTCCGCCGCCCAGTGCTCCGCTGCACGCCCGCTGTGAAAACTACGGCCGAGACGCCGCCGTGATAACTCTGATCCCTTGGGGGTAAACAGCTGACTCGGTGGGCTGGGGAGGGGCGCCAGTCGTGTCGGACATATAAGCATGTGCACGATTGAGGAGCGGTTGTACGAAATGTCTCCGGAAGCTCACTGACATCCCAGTTGGCCTCATTTGACCTCAATCTTAGCGCTTAGTATGTCCGACTGTTTGGCCCAATGCGGGAATATTCGCTCCTCGAAAGCCCAACCGCGCCGCGGCGGTCGGCCGCGGGGGATCGGAAACGCGCAGCCGCCAGCGCTGGTCGGCCCGGCCAGCTCACTTGTTTATCGCCTGCTCTGCGGCTCGGTCTCCGGCGGCCAAAATCGAGCGAACGACCCGAGAACACGGCGGACGGACCGGTCAGCCGGCGGCGACCGATTGCGCAACAGGTCTGTCGTCAACGCAAACCCGGCTGCGGCGGCGGCTGTGGCGGCTGTGGCGGCGGTCATCCACTCAAGCACTGCTTTCAGTCAGTTAGCGAGCCAGACAGACAGTCAGTCACGGTCAAAAACGCAGATTTGTGGCACCACGTGTGCGAGCCCCTCTCCGCGGGTGGCTGTTTAGAGATGTATTCACCGGCTATCTGTTCTGAAGGGGACGGAGGGGTATCGGTTACAGAGCATGTAAATTGATTGTTAGTTTGTGTAGCTGACCGCTAAAACAACAAACAAATCATTCTTGGGGATTTATGGATAATTTTCAATGAAGGCATGAATTGAGATCGCTGGCTCATGGCTGCATTGGTTTGATAACGGTTATTCGTATTTTGAGACATTTAGCTGCAAAATCGATTTATTACGGAAACTAGCAAATGTTTGTGTAGGCATTGTGCGTTAAATTTGTTCAGGAAACTTGTTTTCGCTTTGTCAGCTTTTGATGTAACTAGAATGAATTGTACATATATAGCTATAAAATGCAGCCACCCAACGCCAAACAGTTTATGACCGTCTAACCGTCTACATCTCTAACTAAAACTAGATTTTCAACTGCCCCAAAGTTAAATTTGAGAATCATGCTGCAGCATTTATTTAAGAATGTCGTTTTTCACGATTCACCATTGCTTACTTTTTATAACCTGTGTCCTGTAATATGAATAAATATAGTTATTGTAAAACTAATCAAGTGTGAACCACGTCGCTCCTTTTTCGAGAACACCTACCTTTTTATAACCATTCCTTACGAAATCAGAGCTGCCCGCTTCG